TATCCTGCTCTGATGATGTCCGTCATAAGACAGATAAAAAACTAGCACATCTTCACCGAAATCTAAGGAAGTAGTCCTGGAACTAGCATTAGCAAGAGTGTTCCAGTTGAGCTAACCACCAGCTAAGCAAGAGAAATACGACATCCTCTTCTGGTGGAATCCACCTTCAAAGCTCTTCATCATACACTTTTTCTCAAAATGGAAGTAAGCTCGCTAGAAAGCGATGAAACCTATCTCGCTAATTAGTTAACTAAATCGTTCTGTATGAAGGAATTCACAGAACAGATTGGCTTTTCAAGACTTTTGGTGTTTTGGTTTGTGTTGCTGGTACTTTCAAATAAATACTTTATTTGTTCATTGCACACAAGAAATCCTCACCTGTTTAGAGTGAAAACGGGCTAAGCTTTCGTCCGTTATATGCTGCCATCATCAGGGTTGGAACTCACTTTTATAAAAGTCTCAGGCCCATGTGATGGACGAGAGCTCAGTCCGTTTTCACTCCAAACGAGGGAGGAATTCTTGTGGACTACGTAAAAAATAACTGATCAAGCTACGAATCTCTTCTTCATGAACTCACATACAAAATGAAGGTCCCCAAACAAGGTTAGTCCAAGAGATTCATCGAAACCCAGTTACTTTTCGTAGCCCAAAAGTGAGTTTATGCTTGAAAGGCCTTGGATACAATGGACAAATAATGAATTTATTTGAAAGAACTATCACCATCAGTCTTGAAAAGTCTAACTGTTCTATAAATTGTTTCATACAGAACAATTTAGTTAACTCCTTAACAAGATAAGTTTCATCACTCTCTAGCGAGTTCGCCTCCAGTTGGAGAAAAAGTGTGTAATGAACAGCATGTATTGGTCTCCCCAACAATCAAATATTCTCATTATCTCTAATAGACGACCAACAGGATTCGTAGTCGCTTTATCGCTTCCCATGTCCGTCTGCTGTAGAAACTAGATGGCACCTCCAATTTACCCACATCTGTACCAAATTCAATTCATACGAGAGCCCAACTCAGCTTGCTGAAATGAGCTGTTCAGGTACTCAAACCAAAAGTGTTTCTGTACGATGTTGTATTCCTGCATTTTCCCCCCTCCCCCCCACATAAGTGGGGACGAGTGGACAAGAGAGAGAAGAAGGAGAAGCAATGGGTATGACCAGTTAAAATATCCATGTTACTGTCTGCATTGGGTTGACCATACACTTACAATCGTAATACCATCGGCTTCTTGACCGCCTGTCCACCTCTTCGCTTGGCCAAAGTGAAGACCAATTGATCTGAGAAAGTAAATATGCAGACGGGATCTTTACGCTCCTGACCGGTCAGTCAAGCAGACCATGGCGGAGGAAAAGGCCACGCCAGAGGGTTTTGCGTGGGTAGGGCCGTCCGAGTGCGGTAGGCCGGAGACGAGGTACAGACATGTATGGATACATGTGGATGTGTGTGTGTGTGTGTGTGAAGGCAGGGATAATAGTACACGGTAGTAGGGGAGACAAGAAGAGAGCAAATGGAGTAATGCCAAAAAGGCGAGACTGTCGGAGGGCAGGAGAAATCTAAACGGCCAAAATGGATAGCTATGGCAACCATATTGATTGGGGCTAAGATGGTGCCTGCAGAAGCCGATAGAGAGGAGACATGTAGACAGCAGAACACCGGTATGAGTTGCCTCGGCGACACGCTCCGCTGTTTGCCTCCGGTCCGATATCTGCATGCATCTGTGATATATGCTTGGACATGGGTGTCTTTTAGCATCTTCACTTTATGTAGGTTATTATACACTTTACCCGCATCTTTCTATGCCTCTACACACATGCACCAATCCGAAAATCCATCTGTCTGCCCACACGTACTGCCCATATCCCTCTGATCCATACTTATCCACCCAAGGGCTTGGCATTTGGCTGTCTATCCATCCATCCATCATTCTGTTCGTGCAACTGCATGCCGATCGGTTGGCCTAGAAACTACTGGGCTCAGCTGGATTTGAGTCTGAAAACACAGAATGTGAACACACAACGAATTGCACACGGCAAGCCAAGGTACGGTATGTGCCTCAACATGCTCCACGTGACCGTCAAGCTTCAATGTCCGCCAGCTTTGGAGACTCTTGCGCCTCGAAATGTCACAAGGCCAGACGTCAGCAGCAACGCTTGCCGACCCCCCTTCCGTAAAGCTGCAACCCAAGGCCGAACTGTCTTCCGTAGGAAGGACTGATAGTGGAGATTTCCCGTGTTGATAGAAGTCGGCGTCACGTTTCCAACGCACCCCACATGGCCTTGCCGCCCATCAACGGTATTCCCATTCCAACCGGACTGGATTTCAACCTCGCCCGGGCTCCCTCGACAGCCCTAACGGAAGACCAACCCAAATAGTACAGCACATACTGTCGACGAATGCCCGAGGGTCACAGGGCCGACGCGAATCTCAATGAAGGCCATACCACATGTTTAGTGGGAGTGAATTGTGAGATTTAACTGTTTTCCCACCTCGCATCGAAGGCTCACAAAAGCTGATGGGAACAAGCGTCGTGTACCGAATAAAATAGGAGGTCTTTGCGAGCCAGTGCAATTGAATGGGAAAAAAGTGGTTGGACTCGACAGGGTATAAGCATCATTGATAAGTCTGTCTAGAAAAAGATATATTTATTCATTTATATTCTACACCATTTGTCCTTTATTTGTCTAGCCATGCACGCGCCTTTATACGCAGACTCAGAAAATGTCAAAACAACGCACAAACAAAGTAGTATGGCAGAGCGGGAGGAGAAGAAAGTGGGAAGTAATGGGTTTTAGACAGGACTATGATATTCCCTTCAGCCAGCTGTGGAAAGTAAAAGTGAATCTGATCTGAATGTTGATGGAGATGCTAGACACGATGGTATTTTTGGCTTTATTGTACCTTTTCTATGAGTTGATTTCAGCCTCGTTTGCTTAAGGTGATAACGGACTGGTAGTTGCCCATGTCCATAATGATATAAGTAGAATTTTATATGACCTTACTTTCCCAAAAGGTGTGGACGGCAGCTTCGACCTGGCATAGGCATTAGCAACGCATTAAACGAAATTGAGTGAAAGCAACTCCTATATCTGATTTACTGATGGTCTCGAAAACCAACTCTTGACCGCGTAAAGTAGGTTGACAGTTTGAGAATTACTGCCACAAAATGTGCCTAGTAAAGCAAAATTATTAAAATTGCCGAATCCTGATGTAATTGGAGGGCAGTAAGTGTATGGGAATGAATATTTTCTGAAAATTTTGACATTTTTAAGTGTGTCATTGTGTGTGCGGAAAACTCAAAATGTATGGGTTAGAATGCCTGTGGAGGTGATGATGAATCG